ACTCACAGTTTGAGAACAAAGAATTCGCGCCAGAAAAAAAGAAGCCCCCTCACAAAAACAAATGTGAAAAGAATTAGCTGAACAGCTGGAGACATGACAAAGGATTAGCGAATGCCAGAAAAGCATAGCAGTCATTTATGAGTCAAATCATAATAATCATCTGAGTAATAAATGTGTCAACTAAGCTATAATAAAAAGAAAACTCTCTAAAGGTCTGGGACTCGCAGACAGCATGTTTATATCTTTATAAGCTAAATTCTAATGCACACGTCTACACCACTCTTGAGCTGTGCTCGCCTGCTGTGTGATGAACCAGGGTCCATCGCTTTGCCTGAGGCAAGCTCATGCCTGGCTTAAAGCCAGAGCAGTTTTTCTCTGAAGCTTATGCTATGGGATTTGATGGTGTGAAAAAAGTTCATCCTGGGATAAAGAACCTTGTAGGCGTTTTGTTAAACTTTCTTTAACCTGTAGCTTAAGTAGTTTAAGTATTAGCCAGTATGGCCTTTAAAGCCCTGATCCATGACAAGAGGTATATTTTATTTACTTGCTGAGGCCATGGCCAGATAAATGAATACTTTTGAAAACGCACGCTCTATCGCTCTGTCTTGTTTTTTCAGAGATGTGCGTTTCCCACCCAGAAAAGACCCACTTTGAAAGGGGATAACTTTAAAAACATCTCCACAGTAGTTATAGAAAATGTAGCTTTTGAAAAATCTGACCTTTCTAACCTTTTGCTGCATGTAAACAGGGCTTCTCACTTTCCTTTACTTGAGTCTGTTTTCTCTAACCTCAGCTTCCTTCCCCCGTGACGCAAGGAAGGAATGAAAGCGAGTTGCATTTTCCATATGGGACATCCCTCCTTAATCTTTTTTATACCTTGAAGTGACATCTGCCTGGTCATGACGCACAGCTGCACAGCCTGACATTCGGCTTTCATGAATTGCTCTGGACAGTCAGAAAAGTGGCAAATATTTCACCTAAAGTCTATAATTAGTTTGTAAAAGTTTACAGGCACAGTCAATCTATTCGGCTCTAGAATAGGTAGCCTTAATATTTGATGTAATAGCCTACTCTGCTGCTTGGTGGGGAAATAAATAAGTCACCATGGCTGAGCTGAGATGCTTGGAAAGGAACAAGATGCCTAGCTGACTAATAAAAAGGTGGCATGACATTTTTTTATGATTCACTTATTATATAAATCACACCCTCCAAATAACTCCAAGGTGTAAAAATATGGTCACATCCTTTGTGTAGACATGGGTTTCGTTTTTCTTTCACCATCCACAATCAAACTTAGAGTGACCACATGCTTTCTACTTCCTACACGGGAACCGGTGAGGACAAAAGAAAGGACACATTAAACAAAATCAAACACAAAATGTCAAATAGATTTTTTGTTTGTTGGTTTGTTTTTAATGTCACCGACTGAGAACCTGTGAGAAGCTTTGCTCTCACCGTGTGAAAATCCCTAATGTGGTATCAAAAATAATGTAGTCCTATATAAAAAAGGAAGGTTTCAGGACTCCCATAGGCCCCTTGCACAACCTTTAAAAGCAATAATTTAAAATAACTTGACGTAATTGCTTTCTGGCTGGTTTTATCAGTCTCTCACGTCATTGTGGAGGAATTTGGCTACTCCTCTTAACCATATTGCCTTTAAGGATTACGAGCATTTGTTTATGCACAGCTATTTTAAGGTCCCACCACAGTATTTCATTCAGGCTGGATCATTGTAACACCTTGATTCTTTTCTTTTTCAGCCATTCTGGTGTAGATTCACGGCTGTGCTCATTGTCTTAACCTTACTTTAGTGCACAAGGTTTCCACAAGGTGGTGGGTCACCCCTCCGCCACCGTGCTTCACAGTTTGTACTGATAAGCTGTGTGATTTTCACCTAATGTGGTGTTGTGCACTATGGCCAAACATCTCATGTGTCTGAAAGACATTTTTCCAGATGTTTTGTCATTGGTTCAGATTCATCTCTTCAAACCTAAACCATCCTGCCATGTTATTTTTAGAGAGAAGCTTTCTCTGTGGCAATCCTTCAAAGTAAACCATAGTATAACCATAGTCAGTGTTTTTCTATTTGTACTGTCATGAGCTTTAACATTTAACACACTAAATAAGAGTCTAAACATCTAACTCTTGGTTTGTTTTTCCAGTTTCTCAGAGCATTGCATGCTCCGACCTTGTTGTAAATTTGCTGGGATGACCCCTCTTGGATAGTGGCATTGTGTTAATGTAGACCTGAATGCTTCAGACCAGCAAAGTTATTTTTTTTATAGAGATGCTCACACTTGCTGAGGATCAGTTAATCAAGTGCATTTGATTAGCACGACTTGGCTCCTATGGAAGCAATAAGCATGTACTTCATATTTCACAGGAGTGCACAGTCCTATGAAAACCTTTATGTTTGGTTTTTTGACCCCCAGCTGGTCGCAGCAGATGGCTGCCCCTCCCTGGTTCTGCCTGAAGTTTCTTCCTGTTAAAAGGGAGTTTTTCCTTCCCACTGTCACCGAAGCAGTTGCTCATAGAGGGTCATCTGGGGTTTTTGCTATTTTCTGTATAATTGTAGGGTATTTACCTTACAATAAAGGGCCTTGAGGCAACTCATTGTGATTTAGCACTATATAAATACAGCTGAATTGAACTGAATTGAATATATAAGGAGTCCTGCTGTAAAGAAACTAAAGACTATTTTGAAGGAAATAAATACTTTGTAGGATGATCCACTAGAATCCCTAACCATTAAGCGTTGTCACAAAATTCAAAATATATTCTCTGGTTTTTAGAGATACCTTCTCAACATGAAAAAAACATAAGAAACTTATCTCTGGTTAATATATAAGAATACAATAATGACTCAAATGACACCTTATAAGGAGACAGGTAAGGTGTTGTATCCCCTTACCCTCCAATTCAATTTATAAATCGGGCATTCAAGCACCCTTTGTATTGGATTTCTGTATCCCTGTACTTAACACAGACCCACTGCAGATCAGTGATTCTTTGTAGGATGGAAAACATCAGTGGAAGAGCTTTCTCATCAGAGACCCCGTGAACCTTTTTTTTGAAAATGTCAGTTGAAGTCTGCAAGAGCAAACGTTGGCTTTGATTTAAAATGCATTCAAACAGCTGACACATTCAAAGTGATGCTGGCCAAAAATCAATATCTGGGTTAGAGGTTTGCAGACAGTCAATGAGGATTTAAATAACTGGAGAAAACCTCCAGGGACGGACCTACTGTTATGCAGGAGAGAGGGCACGAGGAAACATTATTACCTAATTGCCAGGACTCCTGTGGGATTAGTTTACAGCGCAGTAGCACAGGAATTACTGTTAACTCAGAAAACCAGCCAAACAGAAGATCCACAAAGTCTTTAAGCAATAAAGTGTCCTTGTGTGCAGAAGTTTATGTTCCCTGTGTTAATCCATTTTGCCATAACATTTGACAATCCACTCATTTAAAACTATATGATACAGGTGACAGCTCAAAGTTACCGTGGGCTGAGTGTGTTTTGTCAGCTGTGTTAAACTTGTTAATGTCAACCTTTTCCATGAACGGTTAGCTTCTGCTTCATAACATCCTCCTCCCCCGACTGGCTTCATAACCGGAAATGAATCATTCTATTATAACTGTTATAGGTACTATAATGGAAAATGTACTCCTAAAAAAAAAGCAAAAGGTGTACTTTTTATACTTGTTTGTATCAAAAAAACGAAACATTTAAACACATTAATACAAATCCAGACATCTATAGCTCATGGACATCAGCCTGGGATGTGACAGCAACTATAATACAGACAGGAATATGGCATTCCCACCTTGTGGAGTTCATCTAATCAGGTCCTGTGTGCTGTTCTTATTATTGTTTCCTTTGAGGCCTCTCTGTACTGAGCATTGCTGATGCAAGTGTCAGTCAAACATAAGGGAGTCACTCCAACATCTCCAGCACACTAAGTTCTGTGGGGCTGGGAAGTCTTTGCTGAACATAGTAAACCTGCTACTCTCTGTTTATATCCAATGGTTCGTTGGTTGCTTTTTCACTCATCTTCACTTCACTGCTGTTGATTTTCTTTACTCATTTCAGGTATTACCAGCAAAATATTTGCATGTTTAATCATCTGGGAATTTACCCAGATTGATTTATTTAGACAGAGATCTTGATATACCCCCCCCC